TTGCAGGAGCAACGCCGACGGGACATGGCATCCCGTCGGCGGGATGCACACATGGGTGGTAGGCGCTCTTTTAGCCCCGAGTACTAGCGGTAGTCGGGACACAATCAGGGCATGCTAATTGCCAACAGCCTTACGGGCTATTTAGCTCTCGCACTCACGCCAACTAGTTGTGCTAGCAACTAGTCATTTTGAACAAAGGTCTGCACCTCACCACCCGTGTTCCTGCTCCTGCTCCTTGTCTTGACTTCTCGGCTCCTGACCTCGGCTCGTACGACTCCAACTCCTGACTGGTACCTCGGACCTCTGACTTCTGACTTCTTTGGATTCTGGCTTTAACGAGTACTCTAATGGTTGGTGATTTGGACTTGGTCTCTTGGTATTGCTGCTTACCCGGTTTTGACTTTGGACTGCCTTTGGACTAGCGTGCTCTTGCCTGGCCTAGTACCGCGTTTGTGGCACTTCTATAGTCAAGCAAGCTAACAGTTAGGCAGAAAAACTCCCTTAAAGGAAACCAGTTTCTTGAATTAGAAGGGATCCTGGAGTCACCTACCCCGACCCCCTTGCTCAGTGCGGGAATTAGTCAACTACAGTGCCCCCATTCTGCTTAAAGGAGCACACACCTTTTAAAAAATGTTTTCAAATGATTAGAAAAAGCATTTACAGGAGAAATTCTTGTGGGGCTGTGCCTTTAAGAAAGGTGGTGGAGCCCCCCAAAGCCCCACCGTAGCTACGGGCCTGTTGTCCTCTAAAGGGGTCCTGGACTGGAGCTGAGCTCTTCTACTGCAGACTGACATGTCTGCTCTCCAAAGAAAGCAATCTGGATCGCATTAATACCACATCCTGCAGCAATGAGTCAATGGGGTGGTTTGACTCGGACCGGAGAAATCCAGGTTAAGATCTCTGCTCACTGTGAAACTCCTTGAGTGTCCTTGGGACAGTCATGCACTTGCAGCCTAGTCCATTCCATAGGCTTATTGTGATGATTAAATGGATGCAGGGAGGAGAATGTGAAGCTATAAATAAATAAACTAGAGAGGCTCCCCAGAACCCCTCAGAAGACGAATGGGATTAAAAATCCAAGAAATAAAATTTAAGTGTGTGTTGACCTTAGGACACAAACATGATTAGACACAGCTGTCATGCTTTTCCCACAGCCGTGGCTTCTTGGCTTCACGACTAAGGCTTACGCTGAACTGGGAATAGATCGGTACCTCTGTTGATGTTCTAGGGTGAAGTCACATTTCAGCTTCTTCGACGCTGTCACAGCGAAGGCACCACTTTAAACTCCCAGCGTCTGACGCCCCAGGGCAACCTTTGGAAATGGGAATCAAAATCCAATCTCCCCAAATATGTCTGGAGTTGAAATGTCAGCTTCTTTGTGGAGTCTTGTAGCCTCTGGGTCATCTGGTGTCCCGCTTGATCCTGTAATCAATTAGATTCTATTTCTATTTTTGTATATAAGATACAAACACACACACTTCTGTATTGTATTTAGAGGATCGGTCATGTTTATGGCCCCTCCTATTTTATTTTCCTGGGTGTGGGGTCTTTCCAGTTTTTCTCCCGTCTTTCCTGGGTACGGGGCCTTTCCCTTTCTCCACTTTTTTTGTTTGATATCTGCCTGGCAGAGGAAGAGAGAAATACAGAAGTACAAAAGAAGTATGGGGAGGTGAGGAAGGGCAGAGAGAAGACAATTGGAATCTTAACCCAGCCTTCAAAATCCCCCACTCCAGGATTCCTTCAGGGCCTTGAGCAACTAATTTCCGCGTCCTCCTTTTCAGTAGCTTTTAGATGTTCTTGACCTGAGAGGGCAGCCAATTTCCAGGTAGAAACCAAAAATGAGAGATCACGGGAGGAAGAGGCAATCCAAAAACAACATCCGTGACGACGTCACATTGTGAAGACCTTGGGTTCTGTTATTAGAGAGTCAACGTGGAATGTTTCCTTCAAGGGTTGGTAAGTAGAAATCGATAAGAACTGTGATTGCTACATGCGCAGATAAAGCAATTGTGAAACGAGTTGTTTACATTGCGCAGCATTCGTTGCGTTTGAGCGATAACAGAAGGGCATTTTCGACAGAATTACTACAGTAAATGATTTTGCGAACGTATCTTTATTGGCTCTTCGTTATTTTTGTCACGGATGTTGTTTTCGGATTTCCAGTTTCCAGGCTGAGCCTGGAGATTCCCTCAAATTACAACTAATTTCCAGATGACAGAGATCAGCTCCACTGGAGAAAATGGCTGCTTTGGAGGGTGGACTCTGTGGCATTGTGTCCCACTGAGGTCCCTCCACAAGCCCTTCCCTCCCCAGGCTCCACCCCAGTGTTCCCTCTAAGCTGAGTTAGTGTGAGCTAGCGCACAGTTTTTTAGCCGCCAGCTCACACATTTTTGTCTTAGCTCAGGAAGGATGGCTCCAGAGCAAGCTAATTTATGCAGCAGCCAGATCGCTCGCTCACCACTTTAATGCCAGTAGAATTTTTGCTCACAAGAGTCCACAGCTTAGAGGAAACATTGCTCCACTCCCCCCCCCAAAAAAAAATCTCCAGGAAGTCCATAACTCAAAGTTGGTAACCCTACAGGAGCAGTTTACACATATCATCAGGCTGTTTTTTAAGGGCTTTCCCCGTTCTTTTGATTTGCAGTGTCAGATTTTCCTGCATACCTGGGGAGCTGTGGGAATATACAGAGACCTCAACCGCACTTGCAGGTTGGGCCAGCATGTAAGGGTCAATCGGTTCACTAACAGAGTGATCCAGCTTCCTCTTTAGATAGCACATCTTGAAATATGACACATGCTTAATTCCTCTCTTGCTTTGGGGACTCATTTCAAGACTCTGGGAGACATGAAATAACAGGAAGAAGAAGAAGAAGAAGAAAAAGAAGAAGAAGAAGAAGAGGAGGAGGAGGAGGAGGAGGAGGAGGAGGAGATGGGATTTATACCCTGCCCTTCACTTGGAGTCTCAGAGCAGCTTACAAACTCCTTTCCCTTCCCCTCCCCACAACAGACACCCTGTGAGGTGGGTGGGGCTGAGAGAACTCTGACACAAACTGCTCTTTTTCAAGGACAGCTGTGCTAGAGCTTGTGACTGACCCAAGGTCACATCAGCAGGTGCAAGTGGAGGAGTGGGGAATCAAACCCGGTTCTCCCAGATTAGAGTCCGCACACTTAACCACTACACCAAACGCTAAGAAAAAGCAATGCTCCCTCTGTGGAGTCTTGTGAGCAAAAATTCCGCTTTGTGAGCTACTGGCATTAGAGTTGTGAGCGAGCGATTTGGCTGCTGCATCAATTAGTTTGCTCTGGAGCCATCCCCTCCTGAGCCAAGACAAAAATGTGTGAGCCAAAGGCTAAAAAACTATGAGCTAGCTCACACTCACTTAGCTTAAAGGAAACACTGGGCGCTACAACACATACATACAAATATCCTTTCACAAACTTGGAAAGAATTGGTTAAGCATCCAGAAAATAAGAGAGTGTAAGATCTGACGTCCCACAAGCAAAAGTGAAGTTCACAGAAGGAATTTTTGCCACCCTCTTCTCCTTTCTGACCCCCCTGGCCCTTCGTGCCCCCCGAAAAGCCACTCCTGAGCATTGGGGAGGAACCATGCAGCTGTAGATTGGTGGGGGTTGTCTATCATTCCCTAACCAGAAGAAGACACTCTCAGGGGTGCAGGGTGTTGGAATAAAAAAAGAGAGGAAATGGCAGAGATCTTTTTTTCTCCTTGGCTTGCAGAAGTTTGAATCCAGCCCGGGAGACGGCATTCAGGCCAGTGCAAAACCCAACCCCACACAAGCACGCATTTCTCCCTTGGCTTTGACGATTCTGGCTGCTACCAAGATATTGAAGAGCAAGGTTCCCAGAATACAAAACATTTCCTTGCCAGCTGACCCCCTCCCTCCATATTTCTGACTACTGTACTGCAAAGGTCAGTTCACATCCGCTGTCAGTCTCCTAAGGAGACTTTTCGGGAAGCCGGGAGTCCAATGCTCCCTTCTAAGCGACGGAGTCCCGTGAGCAAAAATTCTAATTTGTGAGCTAGTGGCATTAAAGTCGCGAGCCAGCGATTTGGCGAATGCATAAACTAGTTTGCTCTGGAAGCCCATCCCTTCCTGAGCTAAGGCAAAAATCGGTGAGCCAGAGGCTAAAAAACTGTGAGCTGGCTCACACTAACTCAGCTTAGAGGGAACACTGGCCGGGACTGCTCCGAGAGTTATAACAATATACAAACTACTGTATAATATTCTTTAGAATCGAGATGGGAACATCTCCTGCAATGTACACCAGGATTATATGTGTATATATATATATATATATTAAAAAATTGGCAACAGTTTCCCACCCGATAGTACTCACAGTTTCAGGAGCACCGAAAGAGAGAGATGGTCAGGCGCCTGACAGATAAAAGCTCTTCCCTGCACCTCCTTCCCAAGAACCACATTGTCCTACCCAGCAGGAGTGGGCAGGGATCTCGTATTTCCTGACAAACTGGTACCGTATGGAAATTTCGCGTTGGTACAATAATTGCACAATAATTAGATTCACTCACCCTTCTGGCACAGAACTCCACATGCAGACATATATTACACGTTCTCTTCGCTGCTAAGAGGCGGAGGGAGGAGCCCGAGTCAGATGCGCACGGATCTTCCCTGTGATCAGCGTGCAAGCGGTTTATTTTATTCATTTTCTTATTTAAACATTTATACCCCGCCCTCCCCACAAGCGGGTTGTCCACAGCGCAGCCTCTTTGTCAAAATCAATGCTCCACCAGTGCGTTTAACGGAACTGGCAAACCCAACAGTTATCCCGTTTTTACGAAAGACAAAAGAATCGTATAATTATGGAGTCAGAAGAGACCTACGGGGTCATCTAGTCCAACCCGCTGCACAATGCAGGGAATTCACAAATACCTCCCCCACACACACACACCCAGTGACTGCTGTTCCACACCCAGAAGATGACAAAAAACCTCCAGGATCCCTGGCCAAACTGGCCTGGAGAAAAATGGCTTCCTGACCCCAGAGTGGTGATCGGCATTTTCCTGGGTATGTCAGAAAGGGCCGCAAGAACGAAGAAGAAGAAGAAGAAGAAGAAGAAGAAGAAGAAGAAGAAGAAGAAGAAGAAGAAGAAGAAGAAGAAGAAGAAGAAGAAGAAGAAGAA